CGCTCGAAGGATTGGGTGCGGCCACGGCATTCCATTGGAACGTCGTTCGGCTCGTCAGGAAAGGCGGCAGGGATGGCGGCAGCAGCTTGCATGAGTGAGCAAAAGGGTCCCGGTCCGTAAGCATCATTTTCGGAGCATCGGCTTGGAAAATCCGGCGCAACCGCCGTCACGAGGCAGCGACGCACGTCCTTTTGAAACGCGCATCCTGCAGCTACTCGTGCAGGGGGTGACGGACCGCTCCCACTTCACCACTTCACCACCTCCTTCTCGTCACCGTCACCCGGATTCATCGCGGCTACGCCTTCCACCTTCGCCTCGAGCACATCTTAATCGCTCGACAATGGCGATCCTCACTATCTAGACGGCTTCGTCGCCCATCCCTTGCTCTCGCTTGGCCTCGCCATGGCGTCCTCTCTGCCGGCTATGGGTGCGACCCCGACGGACAGCACATCGAGTCCTTGGAGGTTCGTCTGGGCATTCCTCGTCGGCCTCTTGGCCACAGCCCTCTTCTTCCGCTCCGTCTTGCCACGCCTGCCGCGCATCCTCTTCCGCGGCAAGCTGCGCATCAGGCGAGCGGGCATCCGTGGCATCCGAGGCATCGAGTACCGCTCCAAGGGATTTCACAACGACTCGGCCGCCTTCTCCAGACACGAAGACCAGCTCGAACTCAAGGTGCAGCGCATCTATGCCTCCTACCACCTGCCCTACTTCCTCTGCAAAGCCCAGGACCAACCCAGCGTCATCCCGCGCAAGAGCAGCGCCATCATTACCATTCATGTCCAAGGTGTTGGCGTACGTCTTCCTCGCTCTTCCCACCACAAGCACCACCACAAACATGCCCAGCATCCACCAAAGCATCGAGAGCATGCAACAAGCCCTGCGCACAGCCCTGCTCACAGCCCTGCGGCCTTGTCTTGGGAGCAGCAGGAAGAGCTCAGGCTCCAAAGGCTCATGAGCAGCCCGTCCTTGTCACCAACAGCCGAGGCGCCTGCCTCGCTTCACCTCCTCCCATCCCCGACACATGCTTCCGCGCATCTCGATCACCAGCTCCATTCACCCGCCCCACCACCTGGCTCGGGCCTCTACCTCACTTTCCATCGGGCTGGCCTCATGTCCCTCCACTCGGTCCTCGGTCTTGCCTCGTGGTTCCGCACCTCGGTCATCCCACGCATCACGAGCCTCGTGCTCCGTGCTTTCCGCGCCGCACTCTACCTGCTCACCTCCAGCATCCCCGTCCTCACCTCCCTTGTCTCCGTCGAAATCGACCGCATCGAGGTGTATGTTCAGGAGGCGGAAGCAGTCGCCCGCATCGGCAGAGCAGGTCTTACCTTCTCCATGTCTCCTGGCTCCGCCACCGAGGCCGATAGAAGCAAGTCTGCATCCAACGAAGACGCCGCCACCGATCGTACCTCGCCAAGCAGCTTCTTTGATGCTATGCGAATGATGCCCACCAGAATGGGCTCCGGCGCCCGCGGCGTTGCCAGCTACCTCGTCGCTGGCATGTCTCCCAGCTACGTCAAGGCACACATCCGCGTCGACAGCATCGAATTGTTTGAAGCCAACTTCAAGCCTTCCACCAAATCAAACCCCAACTCCAGAGTCAGCTCGCGTCGCAACAGCGACGCTGCTTCTTCCAGATCACCAGCTCGCGCAACATCTCCCTCTTATGCAGAGTCTGGACCCTTTTCGCCAAGCCAGTCAGACGCTGCAATGGACACTACACAGGATGATCCATCGCTCCCGGTCGACGACAGCATCGACTCCGGCTATCGCCCAAGGGGACCGCCGCGAAGACGCAGCAACAGCGCCTCCCGCTTGTCCAGAATGTCCTCCACCTCTCTCCGCGGCTTCGCTGACCGATGGGCAGATTGGGCTCTCGAGCCTCTCGTCGACTCGGATTTCCATGCCGACTCGGGCTGGACTCGCAAACATCTGTCAGACGACTTCCCCTCGGACAAGGTGCACACCATCCCAACCAGCGCCAGAATCCTCTCCATCAACGGCGTCACCGAGCTCACCGCCAGCATCCTCATGGGCTCCAACCTCGCTCTTGGTGGTGACAAGACGCTGTCGGCAAAGCTCACCCTTGGAGCCGCTGTTCTTCGACTGGATGCGGCATATCGTGCCTTGCGCGTCATAGAGGGTCGCAAGTCGCATGAAACAAACTTTGCCAACGCACCCGGCGGCGATCAAAAAGGCACGCATCCGCCACATCCGCGTCATCCCCGGCCACCAGGCATGCGTCACAGCTCGCCAGCAGCCACTGCTCTTCATATGATCTCGTCTCTATCGCTCTCCCTGCCCTCCGTCCGTGTCATGGCGTCTTCCGAGACCATGTTGCTGGCAGCAGCTCCGCACACGGAGGGAATGGGTCAAGATTCGAGCGCTGCTAGCTCGCCACCAGCTAGGCAGTTCGCCGTAAACCTCGCCGGCTTTTCCGTCGATCTCAAGCACAGCGATCCCAGGGACCCCATCCATCGCCGCTGGCTCGGCACCTGTGGCCTAGCGAAGAAGAAGTCAGCTGGTCGATCGAATCGATCCAAGGAGCCGAGCGCGAACGACAAGTTGTCGGATCTTGTCGCAGCCTCCCCTTTTGGCTCCGTCGCAATCGACCATCGACGTGTCTTCCTAGTCGACATCAGCCTCGCCAGCCTCGAGGTCCATTGTCGAGAGCATGTGCGCAGTCAAGGCTCGCGTTTGCTGTTCGTTGGCGACCTCTCGGTTGAGTCGCGATCGTCCTGGACGCCGTTCGGTCTGCTCGCCACGTGCCCCGAGTCGGCACGCATGCTTCTGTCGGGCGACCCAAACGAGCATGTCGCTGCGGTCGAAGCCTCGGTCGGTGGTGTCGAGAGCAACGTCACCTTGGAAGACATCACGGCTCTGATTCAGATCGCAAACGAAGTGCATCGTCAAAGACATGCAATGCGCAGTGCATCGGCGTCGGATAAGCCTCGGCGTCCAAGAGCAGGCGGCAAAGGCGTTCCCAGACTGCCAAGGATCGCAGCAGGACTCCATATCAAGCGCATCTCTCTTGTGCTCGATGCCAGCTCTCGTTCACAGGCAGAAAAGAGGACGCCGCGCTTCAGCAAGGACGATGGGCCTTGCTCGAGGCAGCTCATCTTGTCCGTTCCAAACATCGACTTGATGTTTTTCGGAGAGTACCGTGACGAGTATGTCAAGCGTCCGATTGCCGAGAAACGCGCTGCCTACAAGGCTCTCAAGGCCGACACTCTCGAGTGGCCCATCAGCGGCAAGGAAATGTGTAAGGCAGTAGGCAAGACGAAGACAGAGCCCAAGCGGAGTCCGCAAGTGTCGGTGGCGACTTTGACAGCGGAGCCAGAGGCCGTCACGCCCGGCGTATCCGAGCCAGAGCAGCAGCGATACAACGAGACCAATCTGACCATGGAGGAGACACTTAGACGGATGCAAGAGTTGCAGCAGCACAAACCATCTCGAGCGGACAAACCGCCGGCCACAGCGCGGCGCCCATCGATACGCGACGCCATGTCCAAGACCGGCAAGGTTCGGCTGCCCGGATACACCCGCAAGTCTTCCATGGCCACCGAGACCAGGTTCAACCTGCGCTATCAGTTCGAGACATGCCTGGCCGTCGATGCCGTCGAGCTCTTCCTCTCGCTGAATTCAGCGGCGAGCTCAGCCAAGGACCGCTTTGTGCGACCGGCATCAGCAACAGCCCGGTCCTCACCATCCCGCGGCACTTCGCAGCATCATTTGCTGGCCATGCACAGCTTCGAGGTGCATGGTCTGGGACGCGTGCCCGGTAATGCTGAGCCACGTGGCTCGGCGCTGTGCGACGAACGAATCTCGCTGTCTGCCGCCGATGCCGTCGCCGAATTCCGCGCAAACATCGAAGACGTCGACATTGAAGCATGGCAGCCGCGTGCGCTTGATACATACGCAGACATCGCCGCCACCATTGTGCGCGCAAAGCAAGATAGCACGATGGCCGGCAGAGAAGGCCAAGCTGACGAATCTGCGAACCACCCGATGCGAAATCATTCGAAGTCGCTGCACGAGCCCAAGCCGCTGGTCGAGCGTCTTCCTGGTGGATTGGCGCTGTACATCTCTATCGGACGCACGATTGCACACCTCGGCGGTCCCGATCATCGCATCGAGGATCATGTCGCCCGTGGCGTTGGTTTCGAGGCCGAGCGGATCGTGCTCGAGTATGCAGCCGTCACCGAGACAAAAACGAACGCATCGACTCTAAAGACCAACTGGGGGGCCCGTACTGCCCTCGAGCTCTCTGAGGATCTGCAGCTGCAAGCGGTGTCGCTCGCCACTCGGCACGGTCGTGTAGGTCTGGCACGTGTCGTTTTGCACGAGGCAGGCTTCTTCCCGATCCTCGACGCCTCGCTGGCCACACAACAGCACACGGAGGGCACCGCCTCGGAACCCTTTGCACGCGCCAAAGCGCCAGCCGGTCAAGCCGCCAAGGAGGCACCAGACGGAGAGACGCTTGATCGCCCAGCTACTTCGCTCCTGGCTGAAGGCGTTTGGAACTTCGACAAGAGCGATGAGCGCGTTCATCAGTCGACGCAGCATCGACCAAGATTCCGCCAGCAGGACCGCAGTAACTTTATTTTCTTCTTGCCCTACGCTGCC